TTGCTTCCAGAGGATACAAGAGGCTGTAGATATGTTCTAGGTTAATATGGATCTGGTTTGATCGTCGGAGACCACCTGTACCTTAAGAGGTGATATGTATCAACAAAGGTTTCCACTGTTCTTCCCAGGACTTGGCTGTTATCTCTAATTATGCCTTAAATATGCCTTGACCACAATTCAGCAAGAAGCAGTCTAGAAAACCCAATGAACACATTCCTAAGTGTTGGATTTTGGGAGGCGTTTGGTTATTTGTTGGGTTCTAAATGTATTTTATAATTTAGGGGAATATAGGATAGAAAGACAACTATTAATCTCATATTTTGCATTGGCATGGATTTTGGTACATTGATACAAATTTAATTTTGTTGCACTGTATATTTTTGTACTTTTGTCCTGGGTATTGTTTTTATGTAGTTCATATAAAAATGCAATGTATAAATAAGAAATGTGATTAGTAGTTAGTTTATAATAATTAAAATTGTCTCATTAGGTATGTTTTCAAGGTAAAATTATATATTTTATACAGATGATTTTTAAACAATTGAAAGACCTATAGAATATGGCATTGAAAATGTTTTGTTAACTTAGGGGCTTGGCATGACAATGAAACACTTCTGCTCCTGGCAGTACCAGTTTACTTCAAAGAAAATGATAGGCAACAAAGAAACTCCATAGGAGTTTCTTTTTGTTTTGGCAAGGTTAGACAAGAAACTGCCTTTGCCTTGACTGTTTGACAATATGCTGTATAAACTGGGCATGGAGGATCCAAAGTAAAGTGTTTGCCAAAATAATGTCAGACAGTCCTTCAGGGTTCCTGCTTCATGTAAGAGTCAACATAACATTCTTCAGAACAGAGTGAAGTGATTAATGAAATTTTCCAATACAGTCTGGGAGAGTCCTTCAAATTTTCTGCTTCACTGCAAGTTCTGCCAGATACTTAGACTTGTAGGCTTTAGATGGATGTCCTAATGTTGCAGAGGAACTTTGAGCAACTGTCCAGGCAGTCCAATGACTCTGTTGTTATGTATTACTACATCCTTCTGGGTCATTCATGGAGTAAAACACTAAGTAATTTGAGTTTCAATTTTCTTTAGTTATTGTGGAAAGTAAATTAGGTATAAAACTTTGGAATCACTAAGATTTTACACCCCCAATATATACGACTGTTTTCTCTGAATTTTCTAAATACAAATAGTCTCAATATGGTACTTGGTAACTGTTTTTGTTGTATATAGTTTTACTGTGTTAAAGTTAAAATATTTTGTTGTGTGATTTTTTACTCTTTTGGCTTTTTTGGGACCCACTACCCAGCTCCCAAATAAATACATGGAGACTTTTTATTACTTATAAATGCCTGGCCTTAACTTAGCTTGTTTCTTGATAGCATAACTTAAGTTATCCCAACTACATTTTTGCCTCTGGGCTTTTTCCTTTTCTTACTTCTGTATGCCTTAGTTTCACATTTACTCCAGTGCTAACTGGGTGGCTAGACCCTAATATCCTCCTACCTGTGTTCTCTAGTTGATCCTCATCTTCCTCATTTCTTCTTCTATTTATATTTCCTGCCTGCCAGCCCTTTCTCTCATTGTCCCTGCCTTACTATATTCCCCAACAACCATTCATTTTTATTTAGAAAAAAGGGATAAGTATTGTAGAATATTGAGATGTGCTACATTTATTTATGCTGTGGAACATTTGTTATAATGATGCAAATATGTGTTGCATTATTTTATCATGCATTTGTTTAACTCTGTGAAGCTGGGATTCTTTGCCTGTCTAAAGCACCTGATGGTCTAATAAAGAGCTGAGTGGTCAATAACAAGGCAGGAAAAATGATAGGTGGGGCTGGCAAGCAGAAAGAAATAGGAGGAGAAATCTTGGAGAAAATAATCTGAGAACAGAGAGATCAATGAGTAAGAAAAGAAATGACCAGTTAATAGTCAGCTGCAGAAAGTAAGATTACAGAGGTAAAGAGGTAAGAATAAAGCCCAGAGGCAAAAAAAATATTGGCATAAATTAAGAAAAGATGTCTAGAAACAAAAAAAGCTACGGCTGAGCATTTATAAGCAAAAATAATCTCTCTCTCTCTCCCTCTCTCTCTCTCTCTCTCTCTCTCTCTCTCTCTCTCTCTCTCTCTCATGTGTTTGTGATGTGTGTGTGTGTTATTTGTTTGGAAGCTTTACTCAAAAGGGTAAAAAGTAAAACTCTAACAACATGGCACCATACCCTGGGAAACTGGGTTTGCACAGCATGAGAAATCAAGCTAACCATGAATCTGTGAGTGAACCAACAAACAACTCAAATCTATGGTATCTGCTTCAAGTTCCTATTTGAATTCCTGCCCAATTTTTTTTTTTTCAATAATGGATTGCTATCTGAAAGGGTAAGCTGAAAAAAACGATTTCTTTCTCTAAATTGATTTTTGTAAGGTTGTTTTATAACAATCAAAGAAACAATATAAGAACAAATATTATTCAAGATAGTGAAATGACTTAAAAATCCAACATTATCTCTTTTTCTAAGAAAAGGAGAAAAATGTCCTTGTAATTTTGGTATTTGAGTTAGGTGCTAGAGTAATGGATCAGGGTTACAAGTACTTGCTACTCTTGCAGGGACCCAAGTTTGCTACCTATCATATACAATGTAACTCACAAACACTAACACTAGTCTCAGAGAATCCAACATCCTTTTATGTAAGTACAAAATCCCATGATTAGAAGCAAACTTTTATTAACACTATATTGTGTGTGCTGTTGGTTCCATAGCATGTTCACTTTTCTTCTAGATACATATATCCTTTATTAAAACTTTGGAGTTTTTTTTTATTTCTATTTTATGTTTTTGTATGTACTTAGATGTATATATGTGTACCACTTGCATGCTAGTGTCCATTGAGTTCAGAAACAGGTGTCAGATGCCCTGGATCTGCAATTACAGACAGCTGTGAGCCATCATTTAGGTGCTAGGAATTGAAATGGGGTACTCTGAAAGAACATAAAATGCTCTTAACTGCTTAGTTATCTCTCCAGTTTTAAATTATATTTATGTTGATTTATAATATCAATATTACATGAAAAAAACTATAAGGCTAGATAATTGAAAATTTGTATTACACAAAACACCAGAATATCTATTACAGCTAGTGGATACAACAATAAAAAACTTGAAAAAGAACAAATAACAGTTTAAAATGGTGTTTAAATAGAATTTTCTAAAACTTCTTTTCTTAAGTGATGAACTAATATTTTTTAGACCTTAGTGATATATACTATATATTACCAACACATTTTTCCAAATGATAGAAATATAAAAGGAAACTTTATAATTGAATCCAATGTGTTCATGGCTATTTTTAAAGCTCATGGTGAATTAAAATAAGATGGGCATTACTGTCTTGAAAATTTTAGAATATGTGTTAAAAAATATAATCAATGAATATGTTTTAGGCCAGTAAGTCCAGTAAACAACATAGTGATATATTTTTTTTATACAAATAGTCAAATAAAAGAAAACTACAACATATCTCCTACTTCTTTACTCCTATTTTTAGTATATAAATCATTATTTGATTAGAAAAATTTGTCAGCTTCTTACTACACCTCCCTCTAAAGATGGGTTCTTGGGAATATAGGTTTTCTGTAATGAAAGAAAGTCCATGCAGCTTACAAAAATCCATGGAGAGTAAGCATATCCTTATTGTCACACATCATAAAGTGTTTTAACTTCCTTAAAACTGTCAAAATACAACAATGAACCCACTTTATTGTCCCATTTTTCTCTTCCTCATTTTCAAATTATCTCAGTTCATTATCAATGCCAATTTCCTTAAGACTGGGAAGTACTAGGTAAGGGTTTGAAACACACTCTTCATAAGCACCAGTGGAAAATAGCTGTGGGAATATTCTAGACTCAACAAGAATAAATAGATAAATATTGCTCCTGAGTACATTCTTTACAGTAGGACTTTTTAAAAGTTAGGAGCAGTATTAACCATTCAATCAAATTGTCATACAAATAAAATATTATTACTTTAGGTGTAACTACACGATTGTCATTAAATTCATTGCTTTTAAATACTAGCAATAGCAATGGTTTATTTTTATTATTTATTATTATTATTTTCTCCCTCTTTGCTGTCAGAATTTCATCAAAACTTTAAGCATTTTAACTTCAAAGTTGAATTTTTAAAAACTTTTATTAATATGAAAATCTATAAAAAATATATACAATAATTACTTTTAAAAGATTATCTCTATTAATTTTTCTAAAGTTGTTTACACTAGAGAATATCATCCTTAGGAAATATGTAAAATTAAGAACTGTAGTGTGTTTAACTTAAAATATATAAAAATTACAACAAAGTCACCATAATGAGTAAAGGAGAGTTGACTGATTTATTCTGAACAAGTAGAAGAGGTTCATTTTGACTTATTAGCTCAAAGAGCAACTGCTGATTCAGGGCCTGCTTCAGTCATTTTTCCCTAGCTCCCATCATGCTCCTCTAGTGCATTGTTCTAAAATTAATACAAATGTTGACCCCGTGCTCCACCCATATTAACCTACATAGACACCACACTGACACCCACGTTGATTCCACGATAAACCCACGTGCCTATCACTTATCATTACATTCTCTGTGACCTCACAGAGTATTCCTCAACACCTATCCAGACGTTGAAGGTCTCGAACGTTGCCAGCAGTCCACTGCCCAGAGCTGGGGTTATCGGTCTCTTCTTGGAGTTGTGTCTGCTTGGAGTACTTCAGCCTCGCAGCTTCACCGCCTCCCAGCAGCTACAGTGGATGCTCCAGATCCTGATCCAATGCCATAGGAGTTTTCGTAGCCCTTCAGGTAGAGTCGAGGAGTGTATGTCTCTAGCCCTTGACACTCTGTCTGCTTCATCCATATCTGAATTCAGCCTACTCATATATCATCTTCTTATCTCTCTCTAATCCCTAGGTTCAATAGAGTCATCTACAAGCTGCCATACCTAGTGAAGAAAATGTTTCATCCTAATTTGGAGGCAATTTCTCTTAAGAGAGTACAGAAGGAGTTACATGCCATGTCTCAAGATCCTCTGTCACAGTGTTCTGCAGGGCCTGTGGCAGAAAACATGTTTCATTGGAAAGCAACCATAATGGGGCCCGAAGACAGCCCCTACCAGGGAGGGGTATTTTTCCTAAACATTCACTTTCCAACCACTTATCCCTTTAAGCCTCCCAAAATTTCATTTATTACTCAAATCTACCATCCAAATATTGACCAAAATAGAAGCATCTTTCTAGATATTTTGGGTTCTGAGTGGTCACCCGCAATTACTATTTCCGAATGTTCTCTACTGTGTAATCCAAATCCAGATCTTCCACTGGTTCCTGAAATTGCGAAGGTCTACCACACGGATTTAAAACAGTATGAAAAATTGGCTCGGGAGTGGACAAAAAAATATGCAATGTAATTTCAACACAATTTATGTTATAATAAAAACTTGGTGGTTCACTTTATCAGCTGTGTATTATTGCTTTGAGCAAAGTGATGCCTCTCCAATCTTTTCTAGAGAAATATTGTACACTTTTCAAACTATGATTAATATGAAGTGTGGTTTGAGGGTGGAAGAGAAGGGAAAATGGATGAGATATAGAGGAGGTGAGGAGGGAAAGTGAGGACAAGTGCAAATGGATTGGGTATGGGGAGGTGGGAGGTGAAAGAAGGGCAGATACCTGAGAGATAGTGGTGAAGAGAGTAAAGAAGAGGGAAGATGGATTGAAGGGGTGAGAGTGAAGAGGATAGATGTGTTGTGTGTGTGGAGTGGGAGAAGGGCAGATGATTAGAATGTGTTAGAGGTGTTGTGGGAGTGAGAAAGACAAATGGATTTGGTGTAGGGTACGTAGGAAGTAAGAAAAGGACAGATGGATGGGAGGTTGGGGAATGAGAGTGAGGAGGACAGATGGATGGCAAGTGGGTAAGGTGGGGGTGAGAGTGAGAGGAAGAGGTTTCTAGAAGATACATGAAAGCAGGAGATTTGAGGTGCTGGAAAGAGTGTAAAACCAGTTTCATTTTAGATTTGCCTAAACAATTTTCAATGAATTAGGTATTAAAAACTTAGCAAGAAAAAGCTGTGGTGGCTTTCTGATCCAATATCAACCAGTATCTCCAAGCAGTAATGGGGGGAAACTCTTGTTGAGAAAGAATTTCTTATAATTAATGCTATGTATTATTACTATGCAATTAATGTTAGCTTATCCCTCATTAAGTAGTCACTGCTGGCCTGAACTCCAGATACTTCTTCACCAATATCCTCCTATATTGCCATTATAGGTCTGAGATTACAGCTTCCCTCATTTCCTCAATGGGAACTTTCCCATGTGGGGTTTTCAGACTGTATTTTGAAATCTACATTTATCTATCCAAAATTGAGTGGATTAAGAATTGTTATAAGTAAAATGTGTGATGCTTGTTACTACACCTGGCTTTTTATCTGGGTGCTAGAGATCCAAACAGAGTTTCTTAGGCTTGCAAAGCAAGCAATTTACTAAGTCATCTCTCCAGCCCTGGGGAGATATTTTTCTCTGTTTCAACAATTTTTGCGAATTTCTCTTGCCCCCATTGCTTCCAATCGTGATGAGACAAAGCATTCTGGCAGAAGTATGTACTGTAGAACAACTGCTGATCCCAAAGAGAGACAGACAAGAAAGGCTGGATATATATATATATATATATATATATATATATATATATATATATATATATATATTCCTGGCTTTCATTGCCTCCCAATTATGACACCAAATAATAAGCCATTCATGTCATTAACTTTTTAAGTCAGATATCATGCTCTAGCCACATCCATAAAGCCTTCTCATTGAGAAATCATAAGTAAAAAACATTTTCTTGAAACTAAGACACTGAGTTTTGTCACATGCCATGTCTGTATAATATGGACCAGATTAAAACTAAAAAACAAAACAAAAAAAAAAAAAAAACCCTTCATAGGATTTTTGACTATATGTGATTCTTTGTTTCAGGAAAGAATTTTTGCACAGATTGTTATTAGTTTCTGTTGACTGTGTTAACAAAGGTAACAGCAATACAATAGAAGCATTTCAGAAAATGAACAATTGTAGCAAGTATTTAGATTTTAAATTCCTCATGAATAGAGAAATTTTCATTGTGGTAAAAGTTTTATTTCCATACATTATGAGTTATTTAAACAGTTCTTATATTTAAATACCTATCATGTTACTAATATATATAATATTTCACAGTAATAGAGAATATTAAATATAGTATTTTCGATGTATTTTTAAAACACTGCTAATGTACAAGTTGCACAGTAGTATATTGGGAAATTTAAATGAATAATTTCTCCCAAATTGTTCTGTATTAACCTATTGTTCATAAGCATTTCAAAGTGACAGTGTTTGATGTCTAAGAGTACCAAAGAGGAATGAACTCACACTGCATGAGCTATTTGTAGCGGCGTAAACGAATGCAGACAGATTGTAAAAATATATATATCTATATCTTTAATGTAGAAATAGACTTACAGAACCACCGTTCCCGCGGAGACCAGGAAAGCAGAAGTGACTGCTGGGAGCATGCTCGCCAAATTTATAGGCAGACATTAGCCCGAGGCGAACACACTCCCCAAGGGGTGGGACTTATCCCTACATCTCCCCTTTTTGTCTAAATAAGACAGAACCAAACCACATACAACTATATACAATAACAACAAATAATAAATATAACAAACAATATTGAGAACAAAAGCTTTGCTAAACATTCTATCTTAAGGAGTCCAAATAATGTAGAGAGTAACTACAATTATATAATCTTCAACTCCGTCAAAGATCTGAGAAGGGAATAAACACTACTCAACAAATGAGATATATCCAAAATGTGCAACAATTGACAGAGACAACTGACTACCTGGGCAATCACCCAAAGTCTCGTTTGCAATGTTGAGTCAACCAATTTTGGCTAAGGCCTAACATAACTGACATACCATTATTAAAGGCAAGGAACTTTTCAAAACTATCTTACCCTGTCTTGGCAGGATATGACAGTCCTGTTTTATCCATTGATGCATGCTCTGTATCTCTGTCAGTGGTTGAGGTATGGGGATTTCTTTGCCCAAAGGCCAGTTCTGCCAAATAGAAAGGCTCCAGGTGGAGTGTCTTTGGTGCTCAACATTCTCTCGGGAATAGAGCGGTGGTGCCAGGAGCAATGGTGTCTCACTATCACAAACTCTGAGTTAGATTAAAGGCCATTTTCTACAGCTCTTTGAAGAGGTCGAAGATTATCTATCTATACTGAGTATAATCTCTATATATCTAAAGAACCTGATTAGTTTAATTATAAATGACAATCTTAGATGACTATTTATCTATATAATTCTCAATATCTATCTAACTTAAAGACTAAGACAATAAACAACTGTGTAACAAATGAGGATAATGACCTCCAAATATAAACAATGTACAAATATACATTGCAATATGGCAAATATATATCAATACAGAAACATTATATAAGTATCTTAATCAGAGGTAGAAATGTACACTACAATATCGTAAATATATACTATATATATATATATCAATACAATATATGTCAATACATAAAAAATGTTTTAAACAGACATAGAAACATGCATGCATACAATAGTCAATATAATTTAACTTTGTGTCAATATACAAGAATTGATACCAATATATTTGTCTAAAAGCAGTAACTCACAATTATAAATCTATTATCCCATCATTCCCTCTTTTTTTTTTTTCAAAATGATCCCTGAGCTCATAAAATTCCTCCCCCAACCTCCCAACCCCTAAATGATGTCCCTAAACCCAGGGGTAAACTTTACTGGGAGAGGGGACGTCGTCCTCTAGAATTACTTCCAGCTGTCATGGGGGCGACATTCACTCTGGGGGATCCTGTGAAAGTAAAATGATGGCTAAATTTCAAGATCAATGTCTTTTAAAATTGCAAATAGTCTCTGAGTATTTTGTGGAGGTCTGGCCAGAATGTTGTACAAGATGTGCACCATTTCAGCTAACCAAGTTGGGATCGTCTTGTGCAGCTGGTATCCAAAACAGGTCTTGTAGTAGAGCTATCAGTATCATGACGTCATATCAACCAGGTAGAGTTGTTTTTGTGGGGCCCCATCTTTTTCCTGGAAACTTCAAATGTCACGTCAGGAAAAACTCATTGTTCATTGTGAAAAACTTAAACATTAATAATATAGACACACACACACACACACATATATATATATATATATATATATATATATATATATATATATTCTATGAAAGGCATGATAGATATTTTCAATGAAAAGTATGAGAGATATGAAAAAAAGCAAAGATGTTTTCTAAACTCATATTTCTTTCTGTCCCATATCATGGCTCTTGACATGAGACAGAATCTCCAGAAACTGTTTTTTTCTCTTACTAACAGGCTTGGAATTGGAGAGGGACTGAGCCAGATTCCAGCTTCAAAACCATCTCTATATATTTATGAAGAAATGTTTAATAAGACATACATATATATATATATTAATACTTACAAAATGTGTCCATCCATCAGTAATTAAATATTCAGGGTCCCTCAATTTCTTTGAAGATGAGTATTTTCCTGTGGAGATAAGAAAAGAACCCTGCCTCCAACCTATCTGTATTTCTTACCATCAGTATGTTCGCCATCCTTATGCAAGAATTGTTATTTATCTTTTCCAAGTGGCTTCTCTTCTTCAAACCGAACCTTTACTAATTTTGATAGTATCCACAATTTTTCCTCACCTGTGGAGATAAGAGCAAAACCCCTTCCCCAACGTAGCACATCTCCTGGCTTCCATTGTGAGGTCAGCACATCCTTGAAATAAACTGGTTGATTTAGTTCAGTAGACTTTTCCATTATCCAATGTCTTTCTGAAGCCGTTGTTCCCTTCTCATTAGCGTTGAGAAAATTCAAGGTTAACAAAGCATTATGTAACCTATTTCTGGGGGTGTTTTCCACCCCTTTCTGTTTGTTCAACATATCCTTTATAGTTCGATTTGATCATTCTATGACTGCTTGACCTGTAGGATTTTATGGTATACCTGTAACATGCTTGATATTGTAATAATCAAAAACCCCTTTCATTTTCCTAGAGACATAAGCAGGAATATTATCCATCTTTATTTGTGTAGGTATACCCATGATAGCCATGACTTCTAATAAATGAGTGATTACTGAATCAGCTTTTTCTGAACTTAAAGCAGTTTCCCACTGAAAGCCTGAATAAGTGTCAATGGTGTGATGAACATATTTTAATTTGCCAAATTCTGCAAAGTGGAACACATCCATTTGCCAGATTTCATTCCTTTGGGTGCCCTTTGGATTAGCCCCTGCAGGCTAATCCAAAGAGAAGAGAAAATTATACCGCTAGATTGAGCTAAAATATCAGTACAAATT